TCTTCTGTTCCATTCTCCTTTCCCTGTTCCGGCTGGGTTCGGCCTCTGTGTGTGTGAGCACATGTGGCAGCGCCCCAGAGCTCGCCCAGGCTCTTCTCTGCCGTTTGCTTCCCACGCTTTCTCTCTCTCAGCCTTGGCTGGGTAACTTCCGTGGAGCTCCCTTCAAGGTCACCGATTCCTTCCTTAGGTGGAGCCTACTGATGAGTCATCAGCAAAATTCTTCTTTATTTCTGAAACCATGAACCCCCTCTGTGGTCTCTCCTCTGCCTCCTCCTTAGAATTCTCCTCTCTCCGCTGCTTCCCATTTGGTCAGGCCCACTGTGCCGCTGCTGGATCATATAACCCCGGTTACTTCAGCATTTCCTCTGAGAGTCTGTGGGAACAGCCGGGCCATTTCTGAATCTTGTCTTGATTGCCCTGTGTCTTGAGAATGAGCTTTAATTTGATTGTGTATCCCAGGTTTTGATGAAATCTTCCTCATCGTGTACAGAACAGTGGAAATGGGGGTGAACAATATTAGGGCTGGGAGATGGACAGGTCTCTTACTCGATCAGGCTTTCAGTGGACAGTGGTGAGATCATCAGACCAGGTGCAGAGTAGGGCAGTGAGGTCGTCGGGTCAGGCGCAGAGGAGGGCGGTGGGACCGTAGGGTCAGGCGCAGAGGAGGGCGGTGGGACCGTAGGGTCAGGCGCAGAGGAGGGCCGTGGGACCGTAGGGTCAGGCTCAGAGGAGGGCGGTGGGACCGTAGGGTCAGGAGCCGAGGAGGGCGGTGGGACCGTCGGGTCAGGCGCAGAGGAGGGCGGTGAGGTCGCTGGGTCAGGAGTGGAGGAGGGCAGTGAGAGCAGGTGTGGAGGAGGGCGGTGAGACCATAGGGTCAGGAGCAGAGGAGGGTGGTGGGACCGTCGGGTCAGGCGCCAAGGAGGGCGGTGGGACCGTCGGGTCAGGCGCGGAGGAGGGCGGTGAGACCGTCGGGTCGGGAGTGGAGGAGGGCGGTGGGACCGTCGGGTCAGGCGCAGAGGAGGGCGGTGGGACCGTCGGGTCAGGCGCAGAGGAGGGCGGTGGGGCCGTCGGGTCAGGCGCAGAGGAGGGCGGTGGGACCCTCAGGTCAGGAGCAGAGCCGGCCGAATCCTGCTGCTCTGGGGCTTCCTGCATGGCAGCACAGACTTACCTCCTCCGGAGGTGCCTTTTGCTTAGGGTGGCAGTGGGGGGCTGGGGGGCTGGGGGGCTGGGGGCTTCCTCAGTGCCCCCACTTACCTGGGAATTATTAATTTACTTTGGTGATAGCACTTCTAGTTAGTTGGCTTTTATTGTCAATAAGTGTTTAAATTTACTAATTTAAAGTGGTGTCTTTATAATTCCACGTCCACGGAATTATGTCTCGATACCTCTTCTCCACCCCAACAGTGTAGAACACTCATATACATCCGTGTCTGTACATATACACACATACATATGTATATGTATACATAATAATTTAAAATTATTAGAGCCTTGACTTTTTAATTGAACTAAGAAGAAAAAAAAAGCAAAGGCCCGCAAATGAAATAATTTGGTCTACCTTTCATCAAATCAGAATTGAATTGGTTATTCAAGTATTTCAAATGTTAATATGTAAGCAAGTCCAGTATCTCAAAACCGAATACATAAGCTGATTTAGAAAAGCAGTAAATTGGATTCAGTAGGACATTGCATTTGCATTTCAATTAGTTGATAATAATTCTAAGTGGTGCTCTGTGCGTGGGCAGGGTCTGGCCCACGGACGACGGGGCCATCAGGCCCAGGACATGACCTTTCTGATTGGGGACGCAGGCAGAGAACCCGTACACCAGGGCACAAGACAGGTGGGAGGGGATTTCTGCTTATCTGTGTTTTTGAGAGTGAAAGACTTTCTATCATCATGCACAGTTTTAGAGAACACAGCAGAGTATAAGGGAAAGTGCTTATATGTAAATGGAGTAAATGGAGGGATCCACTGTCCACCTCACAGGATGGCAGAGTATAAGGGAAAGTGCTTATATGTAAATGGAGGGACCCACTGTCCACCTCACAGGACGGCAGAGTGAACAGAGGGACCCACTGTCCACCTCACAGGACGGCAGAGTATAAGGGAAAGTGCTTATATGTAAATGGAGGGACCCACTGTCCACCTCACAGGACGGCAGAGTGAACGGAGGGACCCACTGTCCACCTCACAGGACGGCAGAGTGAACAGAGGGACCCACTGTCCACCTCACAGGACGGCAGAGTAAAAGGAGGACCCAGAACTTACCAGGGTCTTTGTGTGCCTGATCATTTCAGATAAGAAGCTGAACCCACACCCAGCAGATTAAAACCAAGTACAATTAGTAAGCCCATCTTCCCAATGTATTTGCATTCTTAAATATGGCTCAGGTGAACAGACGTTGCCCTGCACACCAGGAGGAGGGTAAAGGCCTCACCGAGAGGAGCGAGCATTGGTTCTCGTTTTTGTCATTTGAATCGCTCAGCAACTTAAAAGATTTTGTCCATCAGCTCCTGCTGGGAAGTTCTTTGGTGCAAAAAAGAGAAAAACACTCAGGGCACTGTATCCAATTACTTTGAATTCTGTTTAACATACAATTATAGAATCACCAATTTTGTTTAAAGCAGCCTTTGGGTATAAAATAAACGCAGGATGAGGGTGGTGTGTTTATGTAATTTACCGGCAAAACCTTGTCAGAGTACGTTAATGCAGACTTCTGCACCTTGCTGCCGGCAGCTGTGAACATCTGCAGTGGTGCCAATGGCACCCCGGTGGCGTGTCAGGACCCGTGGGGCCAAGGGCAGGTTGAGGAGGAAGGTCAGTGCTGTCCGCGCTGAGTGCCACCCACTGCCCAGCACGCCGTGTACCCCCGTGGGAGTCCCAGGCTGCTGCCCTTCCTTGGTCCTACAGGCTCCTCTCACCCCACTGGCCTCAGGCACTCGTGACACCTGTCCCTGCTCCCAGGACCCCTGGCCTGGGCTTCAGGGACACTAGGCTGCAGCCTCCGGCAGTTTTGCCTTTCCGCTTCCATTTCTCCTGATAAACTTCTCATTGGATGTCCCGCGGAATTTACTGGATTTAATTTTTTTTTTTTTTTTTTTTGAGATGCAGTCTTGCTCTGTCACCCAGGCTGGAGTGCAATGCTGCAGCTCCTGGATTCAAGCGATTTTCCTGCCGCAGCCTCCGGAATCACTGGGATTACAGGTGTTTCACCATGCCAGGCTAATGCTCATATTTTTAGTAGAGATGGGGTCATAATGAAATGGAAATGCCAACTAAACTGTTGAATAAACGCGCTTGCGGGATGGATATTGAGGCTCTGGTGGGAAGGCCACACCTGACTCATCACCGAGGGAAGATTCTGCTGCCTTTGGGGACAGAGGGCAGTGTGGTTTAGCTGCATAAAACCCAGAGACCAATAGTTGACTTCTGGCTTGGGTTTAAAAGGCTTGGGTCATGACATGTGCTTCAGCACAGTAACGCCGACAGCTGCATTTACAGACAGCAGCACAGAGGGGCCAGGAGCTGGGATGGTTACTGCTCCTGGTATACCAGAAGTCTCGTGATCATTGCCAGCGCTATGCCTAGTTAATCATTCTCCTGTCTCACGTTACCCCCTTGTACGCTAGAATCTGGTGACACAGAAACTTTCCATTTTCTGATCGCACCTGAGTGATTCCACAGAGTTGGTGTTCAATATGAAGTAGTGTTATCACAAAATATGATTTCCCTTTTCGGGAATCTTGTCCTGCTCTGTCAGAGGTGAGGCTCTCCTATGCACTGCTTACCCTAATGTTCTGGGGCAGACCCCTCAGTGCACACACAGGTCCGAAGGGAGACAAGCCTGGAGCTCCCAGAATGCCTTAGGAGTCCTGTCTCACACATTTAGAGAACACTTCACTTGACACTTGTAAGTTAAACCCGTTCCACCTATGACTACTCGCTAACGTGCACTGGCTCTGTTAGATTCTGAGGGGTCGGCTCACGCTTTTGGTAAAGGGCCAGATGTAGTGTTCCAGAGTGTGCCGGCTGTCAGGGTGCCTGCCGCACACCTGCTCAGCCCCACCTGAATCTGGGAGGCAGCCGCAACAACATGGCAACCAGAGAGCGGGGCCGCATTCCAATAAAACTTTATTCAGAGAACAGGCCTTTGGCTGGCCCTTGCTTGCCAGCGTCTGGACTGAACACTCCATTCTCTGGTGTTACCCCATGGAAAGAGATGATAAAGGGATGACAGAGGGATGGTGCTGTGGCCCGGGGCTCCCTGTCTGACTGGCGGGTCATAATTAATAATGCTTACGTGGTACTGGCCAAGATTGAGAAGCCGTTCCACCCTGGCCATCCACGTGCACAGGATCTCACAGCCGGCCGTGGACGGCAGGGCAGCTTCCAGGTGGTTCTTGACATTTCCACCCAAATAACCCGTGGGACTCAGGCTACACAGCAGCGTGGCTGTTGTAACAGTCAATATTTTCATAGTTCGTAGGAATGGCTGATTTCCCAAGGGTTTTATCTGTCTATATTTTGGAAATTATCAAATTTATTAATAATACATTTTGGACAAATATGTAAAGTGTAGGGTATTCTATTTATAAAGCTAGTCCACTTCCTCACTCCTCTACAGAAACATGTGTTGCGTAGAAATGCAGTTATAAAGTTATAGTCAACAACGAAACTCCCGTTAGCGATGTTTACCCACAAAGACCTTCAAACACACAGCCACGCGCACACATCCACGCAGATGGAGACACAGGCTTGTCCTGGGAGTAATTCGAATGATCAGAAAGGTACAATGGCTCAGAGTGGAAGCCGCCCAGCCAGACTTCAGTAATTACCATATAATTAATAAGTGACTGAAGCTCTGGTGGTTCTAAAAAAACAAACTTGCAAACTGGTGGCCGTGGGGTCGGGAATGCAGTTTGCATGGGTGGCACTAGCTCACAGAAGGGAGCTCGGAGACGGGCAATGCCCGGATCGGGAAGGCGCTGGCCTCACTTACGTCTGGTGCTCTCCGAGTGGTCTCTGCCCGATGGACTTCAGCAGCGGCTCCGGTCGGATCGCCGACTTCGGTGACGTCTTGGGGCTGGAGTCTGACTCTCCGCTCTCCTCGTCCCCCATGGCTTTAATGTAGCTCCCACTTCTCATTCTCCTGCAGGGAATCTCCTCCGCTTTGCCACCGGTGGGGTACCCTCCCCACTCATCCTGAGGCACCTAGGAGCAGACAGACATGGACATGCGTCAACTTCCTCATGGAGAACAGTGGCACCAGCTTCCTTTCGGAAACAAATCCTCTGCAATTCCATAAAGACATAGATCTCTACAGTATTTATCATTTAAAGTCAGATGCACGACAATGCACACCCTGAAAGGATGTGAGATGACATTCTTGGTTTTTCTTCATTATAAAGTGGCAGGGGAACATTGTGGCTGAAGTGAGAACATGTGGGAAAAGTGAGAGAAGGAAGGACACCTGCAGTCTCAGCGGCTGGGACAAGCCACTGGCTACAACTGAGTTTCATTTCCCTCTGGTGTAAGAGGAAATTGAAGCTTGAGAAACTGAACAGAGAAGAAGGAAAGGAAGACAAATAGGAAAACAAGGGAGAAAGCGCCTGTCTCAGTGTCCATCTACACCTTAACTCCAAGGACAGAAACAGTGCGGTTTTAACTCTAGAAGCCGAGTGATGCCACACATGCAAGTTCTCAGTGCTCGTAGTTGGAAAAGGATCTGAGCAGCCATGTCACATGCCACCTGACATACAGCTGAGCACCCGTGAATGGTATAGACCTGCCTGGTGTGGAACTCAGCACCCGTTCATAATATATATCTGCCTGGTGCACATGCCTCAGGACCCGTGCATGTTATATATCTTCCCGGTGCAGAGCCCAGCACTCATGCACGTCGTATATCTGCCCGGTGCAGAGCCCAGCACTCGTGCATGGTGTATATCTGCCTGTTGCAGAGCCCAGCACTCGTGCACGGTGTATATCTGCCCGGTGCAGAGCCCAGCACTCGTGCACGGTGTATATCTGCCCGGTGCAGAGCCCAGCACTCGTGCACAGTGTATATCTGCCCGTTGCAGAGCCCAGCACTCGTGCACAGTGTATATCTGCCCGGTGCAGAGCCCAGCACTCGTGCACGGTGTATATCTGCCCGGTGCAGAGCCCAGCACTCGTGCACGGTGTATATCTGCCCATTGCAGAGCCCAGCACTCGTGCACGGTGTATATCTGCCCGGCGCAGAGCCCAGCACTCGTGCACGGTGTATATCTGCCCGGCGCAGAGCCCAGCACTCGTGCACGTTGTATATCTGCCCATGCAGAGCCCAGCACTCGTGCATGGTGTATATCTGCGGTGCAGAGCCCAGCACTCGTGCATGTTGTATGTCTGTGCTGTACAGAGCTCAGCACCCATGCATGTCATATGTCTGCCTGGTGCAGACCTGAGCAACTGTGCGTGTTATGTAGCTCCTGGCACAGAACTGAGCCAATTCACATGCTATATATCTGCCTCGTACAGAGCTGAGAACATACATACAATATGTCCACGTGGTTCGGAGCTGAGCATGTACACATCACACACCTGCCTGGTACACAGTCGGGCACCGGTGCATATACATATCTGCGATGTTCAGAGCATATTTAATACCTGCCTCGCATGGGGCTGAGCACCCTCTGTGCTGTGTATCTGACTGGTCCAGAACTGAACACGCATGCATTTTATGTGTCACCCACAACCGTCCCACAGGCTGCCTGCTGTGTGTGTGTGTTTAGTGTCTCTCTGAGGGGAGGGTAAACCATGAAGACGACAATGCGGGCCAGTATTCTGCTTCCATCACCATCTGTGAAACTGGAAGCCCAGCTCTGCAATGAACAGAGTCACAGAACCTGAACACAATGGTTTGTACCATGGGAGCTGCTCCGTGCAGCTCAGGACATGGGTTCTTTTCCCGTGGTTCATTAGCTTTGAACAGCTCCCCAGAGGCTCTGGATAAAGTGGACTCCATAGGAAAAATTCACGATGACAAAGGCAAAGGAACACAGCATGCAATCGCTGAGTGCAGAGAATGCCAACGTATTCCATAGCAACGATATCATTACCCACAGTCTGTAGTCAAGGACGGAGCTAGCGCAGAATGCGCTTCACGCTGGAGAAGAGAATCTCCCCAAATGCTGTTTACAGAGAAAGAAAATAAAAAACTTCCATATTTAAAAAGTCTTCAGATGGGGTATTTTCTCTCCCACTGTAAAATATTTAGATACTGAGGTATATTCTTTATAGCATCATAAAAGGAACCTGATCTTTCCAGTGTCTGTATTGGCTGGGAGCCAACTGATAGGGCTGGCGGCAGGGACCACGTGGCTGCTGATAAAGGCGGCCTTGTGGCCGAAGACCCCCCGCATTCATTCCTAAACGGCATGCAACTCCAGCGCTCTGGCAGATCCACCATCTTCCACGCTGCAGCCAGGACAGGAGCCAAGGGGGAGGGAAAGCCATGCTCGTTTCTGTCGCTCACACATCCTGACGAGCAGGAGCTCTCCTCACCATGGACCCCATGTGGTAAAAGGGGTCCCAAATACCACCCAGCCCTGAAGCAGCAAGGCTCAGACATGCCAACACCACACAGTCCCACAGCAGAGAAGCGCAGACACCCCAACACCACACAGTCCCTCAGCAGCAAGGCTCAGACATCCCAACACCACACGGTCCCACAGCAGAGAGGCTCAGACACCCCAATATCATACAGTCCCATGGCAGAGAGACAAAGACACCCCATCACCACACAGTCCCACAGCAGCAAGGCTCAGACATCCCAACACCACACGGTCCCACAGCAGAGAGGCTCAGACACCCCAATATTATACAGTCCCATGGCAGAGAGGCAAAGACACCCCAACACCACACAGTCCCACAGCAGAGAAGCTCAGACACCCAACACCACACGGTCCCACAGCAGAGGGGTGCAGACACCCCAACATCATACAGTCCCATGGCAGAGAGGCAAAGACACCCCAACACCACACAGTCCCACAGCAGAGAAGTGCAGACACCCCAACACCACACAGTCCCACAGCAGCAAGGCTCAGACACCCCAATACCACATGGTCCCACAGCAGAGGCAAAGTCACCCCAACACCACACAGTCCCGCAGCAGCAAGGCTCAGACACCCCAACACCACATGGTCCCACAGCAGAGAGGCAAAGACACCCCAACACCACACAGTCCCAAAGCAGAGGGGTGCAGACACCCCAACATTATACAGTCCCATGGCATAGAGGCGCAGACACCCCAACACCACACAGTCCCACAGCAGAGAGGCTCAGACACCCCAACACCACACAGTCCCACAGCAGAGAGGCTCAGACACCCCAACACCACACAGTCCCACAGCAGAGAGGTGCAGATACCCCAACAGCACACAGTCCCACAGCACAGAGGTACAGAGATCCGAACGCCACCCAGTCCTGCAGCAGCAAGGCACAGACGTCTGAACACCACCTAGCCCCACAGGCCCTTGTGGGTAAAGGTGCAGGTGGATCACAGCTGTGGCACCCCAAAGGCAGCCCCAACACACGGCATCTCACAGAAACACCCCAGCAGCACTCACAGTGTAAGGAAGAGAGGATTGGACAGAATGGAAAGTTCTAGGTTCTCCTTCCATCCTGACTCCAAAAGGCCAAGAATCTGAGGAAGAGGATCCCAACCTGCAACTGTGAGCTGGACAGGTGTTTGCAGTCCTCTCCAGTTGGGTTCTTCTAAAGCCTTCATGACCTGGTGCCTTGTGCTCAGGTGTGCAGGGGCTCACAGAGGCATACAGACCATGTGGAGAGGGCACTGGGGGTCTTGTATTCATCTGTTCTCATGCTGCTAATAAAGGCATACCCAAGACTGGGTAATTTATAAAGGAAGGAGGTTTAATGGACCCACAGTTCCACATGGCTGGGAGGCCTCCTAATCATGGCAGAGGTGAATGAGGAGCAAAGCCATGTCTTCCATGGCGGCAGGCAAGATAGCATGTACAGGAGAACCGCCCTTTATAAAACCACCAGATCTCATGAGACTTCTTCACTATCGTGAAAACAGCATGGGAAAGACCCGCCCGCATGATTCAATCACCGCCCACTGGAGCTCTCTCATGACGTGGGGATTATGGGAGCTGCAATTCAAGATGAAATTCCGGTGGGGACACAAACCATATCAGGTATCAGTGACCTGGTCAAGGTAAAATTCCCACAGAGGCCACTGCAGAGCTGCAGAAGCTGCGGGTGGGGTAAGAGAGAGGCCTGAGGCCTCAGCCATAGTAGATTCTCTCAGCAAGAAATCAGCCATTAAGAAAACAGGCATAAATTTGCCCATGTTTTGTCAAATTTTGTCCACGTGAATTTTGGTTTCACATTTCCTGACAGTGAGGAACAAAGTGACTTTGAGCACTGAACAAAGTGACTAACAAAGAATCAAGAATTCCCGTCTTCGGGCATTTGACAATCTTATCTTTGTGTCTTCAGGCCAGGTGGTGGGCAGTGGCGCGTCCAGTCTTTCCGGAGATTCCTGGAGGCCTTCGGACTGGTCATGTCCTGAGACTGGGCAACTTTCTTTCCATGAAGGTTCCCCAAGACGGTGCCACCCAGGGCCAGGGACTGGGGAGTTCTTCATTAGGAGAAATGATGACAATGCCCCATCACAGGGGATGGCTTAGCATTCCTATTGCAACCACAGGATGGACCCACCCCCCTACCCAAAATCCCATTGCAGAGTATGTGTTTAGCTGCGGAAACACATTCATGACGGGGAGAAGCAATTTTTACAGCACCGTGTCCACCTGACGTTCTGAGGCTTTTTAGAGATGTAACTGTGCTACAAGCAGAAATGGCCAGAAGATGTGAAACGGGGGCCACCGCCAGGAGATGACGGCTTTTCAACGATTTTTCTTTATACTTTCCAAATTGTCTACATGAACCCTATATGACTTTTGTAATAAACACCCTTATTTTTAATTTCAGACAAGCCGAAGTCCTCCGTAAGGTTACAACTCAGTAGAGGAGATGGACATGAAATGAAATGAGTGACAGCATCTTCAGGGTGGAGAAGGTGGCCTGAAGGGGACACGGGCTGAAGGTCGCTGTCTGCCGACACGGGGGGCCGGGATCAGGGAAGGTCCTGGGTGAGGTCTGCTTCCCGTTCGTCTGAGTTGGACCAGCAGAAGGTACAGGCA